CTTCATTGAAATCCCCACTACATAGCCTCAAAATTTCAAATGTGCCTATTCTCAATGTAAATATTCCCAAATCACATTCCTTAAATGGAAGTGCATCCTCTAACATGATCTTTTTCCTAGTACATTAGGTCATTTGAGTGGGGGGGAGGGGGGCGTGTACCTTTGTCTTGGCTGAATTGTATTTATAGGATAATCATCCCTAAAGCATAGTTCTAAAATACCAAACATTGGTATTTTACTTCTAAGGCATAGTATCAGAGCGGCACGTTTGCTAGTGAGAAGTTTTTATTTCAAAACTTACATAGTCCCACTCCACCATTTATTTCTATTCCTCTCATGAAACTTAGAACCTAGAGTCAAAAGGTTTTTGTGGGGGGTTTTTTGGTAGTTTTTATAAGGAAGAGTCTGCAAAAACTCAAGTGTACACCTTCCTTTGGGACATAGTCCTTGATCTGCACCAGATGGAGTTCAGCACAATCACACATGCTGCAGAAATACCCAAAATTGGAAAAACCTGTCTCAAATATCTGAAGAGAAATCCACAGAAACAATAAAACAACTGAAACAAAATAAAGCAGCAACTTAAAAAAAAAGAATTAAAATTCAAAACAGCAGGGCTGGCATTTATGGCATTTTATACAGTGCATTGCAGGAATATATTACATTAAGAAAGAGAACCAGGAAAGAGCTCTTGTGTTAGAGAATGTAAAATACTCTGTAATTTGATAAAACAAAACCAAGATTTTTCACACAGGCTTTTGATTTTATTAATTGGTCATAGCAATAATCTTCTAAATATTAAAATTAATTTTAAAAAATTGGCAAAAATTTGGTAGGGAAATACCCCCATGAATTGATATTGAAAGCATATCCATCAGGGGATTGTTTAACACACAAATGCAATATCTAAGCAAATTTGATAATGAAAATTAGCTGCAAAGTGACATCTGGCTAAATGAAGAATAGGTCCAAAACTCAGTTGAAATTTTATAAGCAGTCAAAAGCAATTACACATATTAATTGACTGCCAGACTTTGATTCAAGCAAGACCTTGATATGAATGCTTAGCATAGCACAAGGGAGACAGTCTTGCTCATGTCATCACTCCCACTGGAAGGAAAATGAAATCAGAATGATTACCTTGCCTTTGGATTTTATTTTTCATTCAAAAATAAAAAATAAAATGATTGTAATATAAGATTATGTTATGTTTTGTATTCAGATAACTGGTGTTAATATATATGCTAAATCTTCAAATAAATTTAAATGGGTATTGATAATGTCATTCAACTTGCCATGGTTAAAAAGTGCACCCTAGACTCAGATCTGAAGCTTGAAGCAAACCCAACCTGGTACAACTCCATCTTCCTACTTTGGCTTGGACCTACATCGAGATGCTAAAGGCATGAAAGTCTCTTCATCTGATTGTGGTTCTACATTTGGAACCACCACTGGGCACACAGGCAAAATCAGCGTGCCCCCTCTGCTTTTCAGGGCCAAGTTGAAAGTTTCCTTCTGTGCTGAAGGGGTACTTTGAGTTCAATATATTCTTTGGGAACAGAGGCTGAGTACAACGCCTTCCTCCTCCATGTCCAAGCTGTAGTCTTGCCTGTTAACCCAAGGGCATGCTTCTACTTTCTCCCATTTCTTTGGAGTTGGAGGAGGGGAGAGAGAAAGTAGAGTTATGTCATTCCTTTATTCAAGGAAACAAGTATAGGATAAATGTCAGTGGCAGTGAGGTAAGTTACTAGCCCATTGTCCCAAATTCATTCTCAGAAATGAAGCAGCTATATTTGTGGATTTAGAAGTATTCCAAAAAGGCAGAAAGGTAGAACTAGCACTTCTTGGAAAATAATACCTTTATATTTTTTTAAATTGTTATGACTGGGGATGAGAAAGCCTTCATTATGTAGCATGCAAAGATATAAAAACCATGCTCAATATTGTGTCACATCATGTTGTTGTTTGTTTGTTGTGTGTGTATATGTACATATGAACAGAAAAATATTTAGCAATAGTAGTAGTCTCACCAGTATACCCCTGCAAATGAGAGTGGTAGAAGCAGAAATTGTTATATAGCTTTTATAAATATAACATGCATCACGGGACAGAATTTTTGTTTAAGGCAACAGAGTCTGAGAAAGAAATCCAAAGTTGTGCAAGGAGATGTTTGGTGTAACAAGATTCTCACTTTCTATCTCCCTCTTACAGTTCTTGTGCACCCCATCTGTTCTAGAGTCCCCCCAACACTCCAAAGTACATTTGGGGAGATGGTGGGGAAATAGAAAATTGGCCTTTTTCTATTCTTTCAGCAGTGAAAGCATTGGGGCTGTTGAATAGTCTTTAAAATATTTAAACAAAATTAATTTCTTGGTGAAATGATTTCCAGGTCATGCAGTCTGAGTCAATGAATAGGAATGGACATTTTGCTAGCCATGTTGCTCACTTCTGCATGATTGGCAAAATATCAGCACATAATTATGATCTCACATTGCATGATCTGGAAGTCATTTTACCAAGAAATAGCAGCCATGAAAATGTTCACTCTGGAATTAATTTCATTGGATTGCATTTCTTTTAGCCTGGAAATTTTAATTGTTAAACAAATATAGACTCTTAGAATATAGATGTCAAAGAATAAATAAAGAGGAAGAAAGTTGTTGCTACTTGATAAAGCAATACACTCAGAGCAAATCAAAATTTTTACCAAGTTTCCATTTTTTAAATACATGAAATATTTCTGAATTAGATTTTTTTTGTATGAAAAAATAAACCATGGTCCAACCACAAGGGCTACAAAATATATCCAGAATAATGAAACAAACAAGGTGATAAGTGGTAAACATGGAGGTAAGTGAGAAGAGTGAAAATTACCTAAATCAACTTTTCACTAATTAAATAATTTGAATTAAATCATGTCCTAGGAGCATGACTGATGATGATGGTAACTGTAGTCCACCATACCTAGAGACTATCAATTAAGACAAGAAAAACAGCATATATTCTAAAAGCTGAATTGCTGCTTACGTTCTGAGTGTAATACTTTTCACGCCACTCAGATATACAGCTGTTAATATTAAAGATACATTTATTTTGAAGCGATGTTCATTGCTGGGAATGGAACTTGAGTCCAGATATATGCCTCTAAAACTTCAGAAGTAAAATCATTTTAGAAATTTCTGTAACAAAATACAGTGTCTGAAATGTCTGCTATTTTCTTCTTCGCTTACTCTTGGATATTAGTGAGCTGCTTCTTGAATGTTGTGATTTTTGCTTGGCCATTTTCATTTTCGGCAAACTGTTTGTAAAAGAAAAAGAGACACGTACAAATTAAAATCTGAATATAGATGAAGGCACTGTATATGAATCACAAGCACAGCATATTCTGCAGTATAATCAAAGGGTCCCCCCCTCTGCCCCCCCCTTTAGCTCACATCTAGCTACCTGGGGAGCAGCACCTCTGAAAGGAGCAAGGGTCTTCCAGATGACAACATGAGGGCTAGTTCCAGCTGGGGTTGATGGGGGGGGGGAACGACCTAATCTTAGGCTCTTACTTTATGGGATGATGCCCTCTCTCCTATTAAAGATCTAAGTGAAGCCACTGGAGAGATCATCTGGCAACATGGGTTAGCTATAGACCTTAATCCCTGGTCACTCAAGTGATGCAGCCTCGGTTCCATCTCAGTGTCTGGATGCTGTAATAATCTGGATGGAACAGGCCACAGAAACAGGCTTAGGCTCAACGTAGCAACCCTGAAATGCTGTGAATTCTGGGACAGCCCGATCCTGGAGACCTTCCATCTTTAGTTCTGGATGGGGCTGTACTGTCTCACACAGAACTGGTGCGAAGTTTGGGGGTCCTCTTTGACTTTCATCTCTTTGCAAGTGGCAGCAGTGGATAGGAAGGCTTTCACACAAATTTATCTTGTACATCAATTGTGCCTGTTCCTGGATCAGGAGCACCTAGTCGCAGTCACTCACATCTTGGTGACCTCTTGTTTGGATTACTGCAATGCGTTCTAACATGAAGCTGTCCTTGAAAACCATCGGAAGCTATAGCTGGTCCAGAATGTAGCAGTGCAGGTAGTTATGCATGCACCTCAATATGCCCATCTAACTCTGCTAATGTGCTGCACTGAGCTGCACTGATTACCAATGGTTTCGGGTTGCAATTCAAGGCCCTGGTTATCCTCTATAAAGCCCTTTAGGGCTCAAATCTAGGATATTTGAAGGACCATCCAATTATCTATGCCCACTCAATCAGAACTGACAGAATTGACATGCTCCGGGTCCCATCTATTAAACAGTCCTATATTATGGGACTCTGGAAGTATATCTTCTGTGTTGCTATGCCCGCCCTATGGAACAGCCCTTTGCCTGAGACTCAGAAGGCCCAGACCTTGCTGGCCTTTAGAAAGAGGCTGAAGATGTGACTCTTTCCCTGAGCACTAGGCCAGGATGTTCTGTAAGTCATTGTTAGATGTTAGCTGCATTATGCAAGTTAAGTGTTTGTGGTGTTATATGTGTTGATTAGTAACTTCTTTCCCCGTAGTGGACATAGCTTTTGGTGCTTTTAACTTGTTAGCTGCCCAGAGTTGCTTGGGAAAGAAGTGACTGTACACAGTGAAGTAAATTAAATTTAATTAATTAAATTTAATTTACTTCACTGTGTACAGTCACTTCTTTCCCAAGCACCTCTGGGCAGCTAACAAGTTAAAAGCACCAAAAGCTATGTCCACTAAATCCAAATTTACAGTGTACCAAAGAGATCAAAACCACAATATAATTTGCTTGTAGTGGACATAGCTTTTGGTGCTTTTAACTTGTTAGCTGCCCAGAGTTGCTTGGGAAAGAAGTGACTGTACACAGTGAAGTAAATTAAATTAAATTAATTAAATTTAAATAAATAAATAAATAAATAAATAAATAAATAAATAAATAAATACCACTTATGTCCTTTGAGTTCATGCTT